TGAAGAAAGTATGTTGATCTGAACAAGAGAAAATGGAGTTTCGAAGCTCACAACAAGTCTGACGGATTAACAGAACATTGATGAACAGTTACTCATCATACTTGAATTTCTGAAGTTGTACTACTCCGATGGATCTCAAATTTGGATATGTTGTAGTTCACAAGATAAGGAAAAACTTTCATGAAGACGACTTTGCAATCTGAGCTATAGAGAAAGGTGTTATCTTGCATCCACTCAGGCTGATTAGTGGAAACGAAAAGCAATTCCACCAAAGAAAAGATGAAAAAAAGAGAAAAGCTACTAATTGCACTTGATCTTGTCTAGTCAATAGCATGCAGCATCAAACACACAAAAGTTGGAAATATTTTTTAGATAAAGCAAATATACGAATGTGTGACATCGAAACAAGAATTCGTTACTTTGACAAATTAGTAACACGCGAGACACCTCATTCGGCAACTCTCTTCGCCTGAAGACTTGGGGGACTCCCACCATATGCTACTGCACCTTGATACTCGGCAGTCTCACAACCACTCAGTGACTTGGATTTTTCAAGTCTCCAACCGAGAAGTTTTCCTCACTCGGGAAATTAAGGGAACACTACCTCAAACTACATGCTTCACTCACAAAGCTTCAACAATACAGGTTTCAACAAAAAGCAAAAATTCAAAGAACTTTATGAAGAAGGCTTTGGTGTATTTAACACAATATGTTGAAATGAAGCAAAGCTTATTTATTAATATTTTCGATAAGCCACAAATATGTACATATACATGAGTCAAAATAAACAAAACAAAAGGGAGCCTTCACAAAGGTTGCTTAGGGGAAGTCTCAGCAGTCGGTAGAGCCCCAGAAAGAGAAAGCACCGGAGGGTGGTTATCCGGAGCCTCAGTACTTGACAAAACCCCAGAAGGAGGAGGCATTGGAGGTTCATCATTTGAAGCTTCATTACCAGGTACAGCCCCAGAGGACGAAGGCAATAAATGCCTTTGGAACAAACCCACAAACCGCTGATGATCAAGTAAAACCTTACCATCAGATTCCTTCATCTGGTCAAGCTTCCTCTTCATGTTTGTAGCATAGTCATGGGCGAGCCGGTGCAACTGCTTTATTCTCATGCTTGAGCCCTCTAATCTCCTGTTTGAGACTCATCACTTCAGCAGCCAATGATTCAACTTGGCGGTTCTAGTTCTAGCAAATAGGCGTTGGGCCATATTAGACACAGAACCTGCACACTGAACACTAAGAGCCAGAGAGTCCTTAACAGCCAACTCATCAGACCGTTTGGAAAGTAGTCTGTTATCTTTGGGAGTGAGAAGGTTCCTGGCCACCACTGCAGCGGTCATATCATTCTTCATCACAGAATCCCCAACGGTAAGAGGACCAGTAGGGGGATATGAAGGATGGGCGCCATATGTTGTCTGGAGAAGGCGTGGCTGTCTCTTCTCCAAGGTTCAAGTCAAAACGACGGTCGGAGGGTCCAGACATTTTCAAATGTGTTGAAGAGGGAAGAGGTCAGACAAATCAAGATCTTAGAAGTGCAAGAAATGAGCTTCTACTGGTAGAGATTCAAGTGTGCTGTGGAACTTAATGCCAGCCTCTATAAAAATCTGCACTCGACGGAGCTTCAGAAATCGAAGAGGCGTTTGCTTTCTCAAAAGCTGGGCTGCTCAGAGACCACGAGGGCCGATCTCAGAAATCGAAGAGGCGTTTGCTTTCTCAAAAGCTGGGCTGCTCAGAGACCACGAGGGCCGATCTCAGAAATCGAAGAAGCACCTGCTTTTTCAGCCTCGTCAGCACCTGTCACATGCACAATCAGCTTTGCGGAAATTACGGGCAATCTGTCGAAGATTTCTGGTGAAGTAGAAAGCACGTGAATCTTACTGATTCAATCACCGCTCTCCATATGCACCATCAACTCCTCGGGTACCACATATAACTTTGTCAAAGATCTCTGACAAAGTTTAGGCACGAGAATTTCGAAGTTCCAGCTACCCTACTATTACCCATAAGGGTAAAGGAACAGCACCACTGCTTGACAACTGGAAAGTCCCTATGTGTGTCGACCTCCGTGTTTTTGCGGCAAGACAGGTTGGCAAGAACGTCCAACCTTTACTCACATTCGAGAAAAGACTCCCAACATAATTACTTTCTCAAAAAACCGGAGTAGCACCGCTTTCCGAATCTCGAGAGTCAGATCCTCGACGGGATTGCTTGTTCGAAAACCGAAGAGGCACAACTCTCAGAACTTCGAGAGCCAGATTTCCTTAGATAAAGCTTGTCTGTAATCTTCACACGTAATATCAGCTTTCCAGATACCACATACCACTTTTTCAAAGTGCTCTGACACAAATTAAAACACGTGAAGCTGGCAGCTCCCACTACATTGCTGTGACCAAGAAGGGTAAAGGAATAGCATTACTACTTGTTATTGGGAAATCCCTATATACATTGACCTCCCTCCTCAACGGACAGGCAAACCTGCAAAAATGCTCAACCCTTTCTCGCATTCGAAAAGGCACCCTCAACATAACCTCTCGAAATACTCAGCTTTATTTCCCCCCCGATAATACCTCAGCAAATAAGCCACACCAAGAACAAGAGTATCTCATATCATCAGGGTCGAAAGCAAGAGTATCCCATATCATGCTTTCTCCCTGTCTTTGTCTTTGTCCTTGTCCACACCTGCAGGACAAGGAGAAAGAGAGCAGTCAGTCGGAACCTGAAATCAAACCTCCAATTTGGAACTGACTGCCTGGAGCCTTTGCCTGGTTGCTTACTTAGCATTGCTCTCGAGTACTCATCCTTAACTGCTGTCAAGGTCACGAATTCCACCGGCAAATACCTCATGACAGTTGATCAGATATTGGCTCTTTACACTGAAGCTGCCAAGCGTGGATGAGTCACTATGAAGGAATGTTCTGAAGGACCATTTAAATGCAAAGGTTGCACACCACTTCTGCCATGCAAAAGATTGAAGCAGAAGGTTCAACGGTGAGCTGAAACAGATCACTACAGCACGACACCTTTCCATACCACATTCATTATTCTATTCCGTCAACAGCAAAAGTATCCCATATCATCAAGGTCGAACGTACTCTAGATTTGATGGACTTGTTTTGACCCTCAAATTTTTGAGTCGGCCTTATACTCTGAAGGGCACCAGAAAACCCTCCAGCACAGTTCAAGAATAAGCCTGTGGAAAGTTACTTCTTCAAAAAAGCAAAAGTATCTCATATCATCTCTTATCCATTTGCTTCTCCTTATCCTGGCAGTTGAATGAGAGACAAGGAGAATGAGAACAATCAACCGGAAGCCGAAGTCAAACCTCTGATCCTGGGTTGCTTACTTGGAAGTTTGACTGCTTACCTTGTCTGTCACCTCTTTCGGCAGATCTCCTAGCTCGGCGACTTGGGGGACTCCTACTATAGGGTTTGTATGACACTTACTAAGCCCGAAACTACAACTAAGCTTCAAGTGAAATTGATACATTACCTTGTGCGTCAACACATCAGCTAAATACACCATTCCCGGATGGAGGAAAGGTACTTCCAGAGAAGGGCAGATGAAGATCAGACCACACTTCGGTACTTAGAAGTTTCGTGATTACTCAAGGGATTAGATCTTGCAAGTCCCCAACCGAGGAGTTTCCCTCACTCGGGAACTTAGGGGAGCACTGTTTGTACCATACTTGACCAATCCCGAAACTACCGAGCACCGGCCAACGCTATACTGTCAAGGACCCAGAAGAGTTCCCCTCCGACCAGGAGGCCAATCACTACTCGACACGTGTCAAGATTAGAAGCCAATCAGAGCGCAGCACGTGTCAACATCAAGAACCAATCATAATATGACACATGTCAATGTGACAAAGCTACAAGTTTTTCTATAAATAGGGGTCATTCTCCCACAATATGGCCTAATGCCATTTGTGTTAAATCATTCACAAGAACTCTAAATTGAGAGCTTGATCCTTTGTACTTGTGTAAGCCTTTCACTACTAATAAGAACTCCTCTACTCCGTGGACGTAGCCAATCTGGGTGAACCACGTACATCCTGTGTTTGCTTCTCTGTCTCTGTTCATTTACGTACTTATCCTCACTAGTGACCGAAGCAACCAAGCGAAGGTCATAAAACCTGACACTTTCTGTTGTACCAAAGTCTTCGCTGATTTTGTGCATCAACAGAAACTTTGCAGGATGTTTATTTAGTCAATTATCTGCTAGTTTATCACAAAAAATTAGAAGGAATGCATTGCATGATAGATATAACTAATTTAAGTTGATTATATAGCGAGCTGGCAAACATTGTGAGTGTAGAAAATATGTAGTAATTAATGAAAGAAGTTTAAACACACCATAATCATTTATATATAATGAATTAGTATAATATTTTACATCTTATACATTGCATGGTAAGATACATGAGTGACTTAGCAAGGTCTAAAATATCGATGATATCGGAAATATCGGTAGTAAAAAAACATGGAAATTTCGATGGAAATATCGGGATATTATGGATATTTTAGACCATGAATGTAAGTTACCAACTTTTCTGAAATTTTAATTGTTTTATTTTTAATGACAAAATTGGATGAAAATGAAACTAATAATTTCAAATAGATTTGTCTGAAAATCAGGCATGCATACATGGAGAGTAGGCTAGGCAATGAAGTTTAATTCTAATTGTGTGACCTACTGAACATGCTAATCTCGCATGTATATATAAAAATAAGTAAACCACCGCAAAACATGTGTGACTATTATATTATTTGATGGTTTGTGGAAGTCTCTGTCGTTATCTATTAGTTTTGAGTTAATATATCTTTCAACTTGTGGTGTGACATTGACTGAATTACAAACAAAACCATGACCAACTGTGAAAAATTTCCTGGAAAATACAGCCAGTCGAAGTCTTTGTTTTCTTAGAATTTGTACTGATGTGATGATAACTAATTTAATTAAACAAGTCTTCCAAGAAACTACCTATCAATTCACAAAAATTCAATGGTGCTCGTACTCCGAGATTTTTAACCATATTTCGAGCAGGAAGGAGAAGACTTCAAAGCTATATATAAAAGTTTCCCTAATCTTTTTCTATGATTAGAGATCAAAACATGGCTAATTTCCCTTGTGTTCCGAAAACAATCTCTCTTTTTTTGCTTTGTTATCTCATCACCTTCCTTTTTGATCTTGCTTATGCTGATCCTCCATACAAGTTGTGCTCAGATGTTCGCGGTTATGTCGAAAATAGTACGTTTCAGAAAAACCTTCAGAGCCTGCTCAATTCATTGCCTTCGAATGCTTCTGTTTCCAAGCTGTACAATACCTCCGTTGGAAATGAACCAGATAGAGTTTATGGCCTTTATATGTGCCTCGATTATGTTACGAATGAGACATGTCACAACTGCATCAACACCGCGCATTTAGACATTGTGAGGATTTGTCCCAACTCAACAGAATCAGTTGTGTGGGAGGAGACGTGCCAACTGCGCTACTCCGATATGAAGTTCTATGGTGAATTGAATATGGGAGGCAACATTCCATTGGCTAACAAGGAAAACGTTTCAGAGCCAAAAAAGTTTGAGTATACCGTGAAGGAGAAGCTGAGTGAGCTTGCGAAGCGAGCGGCATATAATGTTTCAGCGAAAATGTATGCTACTGGAGATGTACCATTTGAAGATAAAGTGATATATGCTCTTGTGCAGTGCACTAGAGACTTATCTGGAGATGACTGTGATAAATGCCTTCAGCGCGCCATAGAAGACGTTTTGAGAGAGTTTTATTTCTCCATTGGTGCACGGCTTCTGAGCCGGAGTTGCTATCTGAGGTACGAATTGTATGCCTTCTATAATGGTGCAACTCAAGCTTCTATTTCTAGCTCTCCGAATAACAACAAAGGGGACGGTGAGTACTTTTAAAATTGTGTATCAATTTCGACGTTACAATGTTATAAATTAACTGCGAAGGCTTGGTTGTTTCCAAATGAAGGTAGAGGATGGTGGATCACGATCCTTACGATTGCGTCAGCATGTCTAGCCATACTACTTATGGGTTCCTGTGTCTATCTTGCAATGAGAAAAAGAAACAAAAAGGGTAAAATAATGCGTTCGGAAATGCTTATTTTAGAGCTGATCATCACTCTAATATGTTTTCTGAAAGCAGCTTTTCTTTCGATCTGTTCAGTGAGTAGTGAGATTTTAAGACAACATGTATTGTTCCCGGAACAACGTTTTCAAGGCAGAAACCCGAAAGCTGAGGAGTACCCCTATATCAGTTTGGCATCTATACATGCAGCTACGGATAAATTCTCTGATTCAAATAAGCTTGGAGAAGGTGGTTTTGGGCCTGTTTACAAGGTAAAAAGTAAAAGCAAACTGTTTCTTTAACAAAACTAGGGACAAAAAGTTCACATACGAAGATTTATTTGTATTACTATCTTCCGCTTGGTTAGTATTTCAGTGGCTTGATTTAAAATCTGGTATTTTGCAGGGTGTACTCAGTGACGGAAAAGAAGTGGCAATCAAGAGGCTTTCAAGCTGTTCTGAGCAAGGCACGGAGGAATTCACAAATGAAGTTCTGCTGATAATGAAACTTCAACATAAAAATCTTGTTCGGCTTTTGGGTTTTTGTGTTGAGGGAGAGGAAAAACTGCTTGTCTATGAATACCTGCCAAACAGCAGCCTAAATGTCTTCCTCTTTGGTATGTTTTCTCTTATGATCTCTCGAAAATTTCTGTATTTGGGATCTAGATTCAACTGTTTTATACTATGGCTAAGATTTTATTCTCAGAAATCTTTTAGTCTGTAAGTTCTCCTCCAATGATGCTTAGATTCAGAGAAACGAGTGCAACTTGATTGGAGCAGACGTGTAAACATTATAAGTGGAATTGCACGGGGAATTCTTTATTTACACGAGGACTCTCGACTTCAAATCATCCATAGGGACCTGAAAGCTAGCAATGTTTTATTGGACAGTGACATGAACCCTAAGATCTCCGACTTTGGCATGGCAAGGATCTTTGCAGGAAGTGAAGGCCAAGCAAATACGACTACAATAGTTGGGACTTAGTAAGTGCTTCTTGTCTAAATTTTCTTTTCCATTAAAGGGAAACTTACGGTACTCAACATTTTGTTCTGGATTTTGGTATTGGAATAGCGGATACATGGCTCCAGAATATGCAATGGAGGGAGTATATTCCGTCAAGTCTGATGTTTATGGTTTCGGAGTACTATTGCTTGAGATCATAACTGGGAGAAGGAACGCCAGCTTTCATCCAATAAAACGTGTTCCTAGCCTTGTAACATATGTAAGTTACTTTATGCACTTCTCTCAGAGCAAGACTCTTTGCAATTAAACAGCAGCTTAATGCTTGTCCAATTGATTATGATGCAGGCATGGAAATTATGGCATGACGGAAAAGGGTTGGAGCTACTCGACCCACTACTACTCGATTCATGTGATCCAGATGAGTTTCTAAGATATCTCCATATCGGATTGTTGTGTGTCCAGGAAGATGCGTATGACAGGCCAACCATGTCTTCTGCTGTTGTAATGTTGAAAAGTGAAACTGTAACTCTTAGCCAACCCGAGAAACCTGCTTTCACCACGGGAAGATTCACTGATCATTATACTGAGACAGCCGCTGGTAATAGTTCTATTAATGGCCTAACAGTTTCTAACGTCATGCCGCGATAACACCATAAGATTCATGAATCTGTACAAAGTTGAAACTTTCCTATGGTGTTTTTGGTCATGAATTTCTACCCATGTTCTCGATAGCACAAAGTTTTTCTTAGTTCTGTTATGTGTATATTATTAATAAATACAGAATACTGGCAGTTCAGGTGATACAAGTTGCTAAGAACAACTGGTTTATTCATTTCTAATGAGAATTAAAATGGGGACACCAAGCCAACAAGGCTTCCCGCTTTGCCAGGGTCGGGAGAGAATCATCTAGCATACGCAGCCTTACTCTTGTTTTACAAAGAGACTGTTTTCACGGTCCGAACCCGTGATCTTTCGGTCACAAAAGAGCAACATTTCTGTTGTACTAAGACCCGCCCTCATTTCTAATGAGAAATTGATGGTTTTTATTTATTTTTAATCGTTCTAATGGATTCGATTCATGGAATTTGACTTCATTCAAAATTTTTTATTTATTTTTAAATTGCATTTGTTTGTCAACCTCTATCCGAACCCACCTGGAAATGGCACTGATAACTCGTTACTAATCTGTGATAATCATTATGACGTATTACGATAGCAGCAAATTAAAGCTAGATTTAGCACAACTAGACACTAAAGTCTAAAGCTATGATATCATCAGTAATGCTCACTGATTTGAATTCACTGTTAAGATGGTTGCAAGTATATTCAGGTTAAAAAATAGCCAACATGACACACAAAATTAGTAATTAATTAATGACTAAAAGTCTAAAACCAGTGGCTGCTTAATCTGAGGTTTCTACATGTCCAAGTCACCCATGAGAATTTGAGTGGTCAAACAAATAGTTAAATAAAGAGACACAACTTGTTTAGCCAATCCTTAAATAATCACACTTTAATCAAGTGCTGTAAGCGTGACTTAATTACATTTGATCAAGTTGCAAAGTCTTTGATCAATGCAATATCCTTGGTCTCAATCCACCCTGCAGCATGACTTTGTTCAGCCAGCTTGCATATCGTTGAATCTTCGATCAGCAAGGAAGCCTCGGTGATAAAATCAAGTCGATACTTCAACCGGATGCAACCTGCTAGAGGTTAAACTTCACTGTCGGATTATATAACAGACGATCAAAATAGAGCCTGCATAAACACTAAAACACATGCTGTTGTTAATTTGATGTCACCTCAAGGAAATTTCATATCCAATAAGATCACTTGGATATATTTCAATTTCTACAGGTCCAATTCACGTGATTATATCCTATCTTCCTATAGCACTCATCACGTCGTTACACTCACCTCCAATTTTTTTCTGCCAAATGCTATGCTACAGTCAAAACACTTTTTACTAAACTACTAGTAATTCCATGGCTGGCCCCTTCAAGTAGAATGGTCAAACAAATAGTTAGACTTACACTACTCTAGATACATGAACTCTAAGATAATCACATTTTGATCAAGTATTTTAAGCATGCCTTATATGTGACTAATCTGCAAAGTCTTTGATTAATTAATCAACAATTAATCAAATCATTTGAATACCATATGCTATTCTTGGTCTCTATCAACCTGCAGGTCATGGCTTTATTCAGCCGGCTTGCGTCTTTGATCAGCAAGGATCAAAGTTTCTGTGGTGTAATCAACGGTTAACCAGATGAAAACTAGTAGCAGGAACTTCGATGTCAAAACTGAAAAGTCATCCAAATAAATCATCCAAGTGTTTCTTGCCATTGTCCTAATTCTGTGTTCACTGTGAACCCTTTCTAGAAAATGGATAAAGATAAACTTCCTGTAATGCTTTTTGCAATTATTTCGCTGTTGATGCCAGCTGCCCTTTCTGCTACAGATCCCCTATCAAATTTTTGTTTAGCTGATGTCAGAAATAGCCAATTTGAAAGCAATCTCGAGCGGCTACTTGAGTCATTATCTTCCAACACTTCCATCGCAGGAGGTTTCTACAACGATACGGTAGGAGATGGACTTGACATAGTCTATGGACAAGCACTTTGTAGATGGGATGTCAACTCCACGGTTTGCCAAAACTGTGTCGATGAAGCAAGGCAGGAAATCTTCAAGAGTTGCAATAAAACAGATGCAATGATTTGGTACGAGCTATGTCAAGTTCGATATTCTTACCAGATGTTCTTTCAACTAATGGTTTACACTGGAAAGTATCTGGACAAGGATAGTCAGGAGAAGAACGTATCAAATCCACACCATTTCAATGATGTATTGACCTATTTAATGATAAACCTCTCTGGAGCAGCTGCGTTTAGTCCTTCTAAGCATATGTTTGCAACTGGGAAAATTAAATTTTCGGGAAAGGATACAATTTATGGCTTACAGCAGTGCACTAGAGACATTTCTGCAAGTGACTGCCATAGCTGTTTGAATTCTGCTCTCACAGATCTTTTGGGATGTTGCTCTTCTCAACAAGGTGGAACTGTTGTCAGTAGGAATTGCAATGTGAGATTTGAACTGTTCCCCTTTTTTAACGACTCGTCAAATTCTTTGTTAATCTATCCACAGTCCAAAGGTTAGTGGCTTGAAAGTTTTCTTTTGTGAATTAATTATCTGTGCACTGCATGCACATTGTGGCTCAAGGAAATTCTTTCTATTAAAAAGCAGCGGATAGATGGAAGAATTGGAAGGTGGTTATACTTGTATCTGCATCCATCATACTGTTAGCAGCCATTGTATTTTGTACTGTCCGTCTCCGGCGCAAAAAGGGATCAGAGGATGTCAAAGGTACATCTATCAAAACTAAAAAATTATTCTGAATTTTGAGGATTACCTTGTAAGATTTACTTGTGATGTTTTTTTTTGCAGATGAAGAAAAAAGCGAGCAAGTACTATTACAAGATTTGGCAAGCCCCACTGGAGTCACAATCACAGAAGAAGGGATGTTCATAATTTCTGAAGAGCTGGCCTTCATGGATCTAGCTACTATAAAGATAGCTACGAATGACTTTTCGGATTTAAACAAGCTTGGACAAGGTGGGTTTGGTACTGTTTACAAGGTAATGATACTATGTATTATGTTTCTACGTAGGCTTAATTATAGTACTGATTCAATTATAGGCCGAAAAATGAATGTCGTCATCTGATTTTGTCAATATTCTTTCAGGGTTTGCTACCAGATGGGAAAGAAGTTGCCGTCAAAAGACTGTCGAAGAAGTCATGGCAAGGCTTAGAGGAGTTCAAAAATGAGGTGGTAACCATTGCAAAACTTCAACACAAAAACCTGGTGCGGCTCTTGGCATGCAGCTTTGAGGGAGAGGAAAAGCTGCTTTTGTACGAGTTCATGCCAAATAAAAGCCTTGATGTTTTTATCTTTGGTTTGTTCATCTTACTCTTCTGCTATAATGTTCTTTTACTTATACATTTATACATCATACGGACACTTCACATGATAAATTGTACTAAATTTTCAGATTTGGAAAGACGAGCAGAACTCAATTGGAAAATTTATTACAACATTATTGAAGGCATTGCTAGAGGGCTTTTGTATCTTCACGAGGACTCGCGGCTTAAAATCATTCACAGGGATTTAAAGCCTAGCAACGTACTGTTGGACTATGAAATGGTTGCCAAAATATCAGACTTTGGCATGGCAAGGATATTTTGTGACAGCCAGAACACAGCTAACACTAAAAGAGTTGTAGGAACACTGTGAGTTTGCTTCTTACAGCTCCCATATTTATCTTTAGAACATGCTAATGCTTATACTCGATTCTTGAAACAGTGGTTATATGGCTCCAGAGTATGCAATGGAGGGTCTATTCTCTGTCAAATCTGATGTCTTCAGCTTTGGTGTAATCTTGCTAGAGATTATTAGTGGGAAAAGGAATACTGGGTTCTATCTCACAGAACATGCCAAGACACTCCTTGCATATGTACGTTCTTTGTCCACTTTGATTACTTAACTTAATTTCTGTGAAATTAAAATATTTTGCGGCTTAAATAATTGATAGGCATGGAGGCTATGGAAGGACGGAAAACAGTTGGAATTTATTGAGCCTTTGTTGATGGAAACTTGCCCAACAGGCGAGGTTTTGAAGTGCATGCATATTGGTCTTTTGTGTGTCCAGGAAGACCCTGCAGAGAGACCTACAATGTCAACTGTGGTTGTATTGCTGGGAAGTGAATCGATAGATCTTCCTGAACCAAAGCAACCGGCAATATTTGCTGTACGAAGAGTTGCCCCAATCAGTGAGTCTACAACTGATCCTGCTTCCAATGGGCTCACTCTTTCCATAATTTCGCCTAGGTGAACAAGCTCTGACTGGAATTCCATTTTGCTTCCTCGAGGTTGGTTCGAATACTGCTTGAGGGGGCTCAAAAGTGGTTTGATCCTACCTCTCGAGTGGCTATATATATCGCTGAAATAAAGACAAAAACTTAATAGCCCCCAGTGAGTGAGGATCCTCGGGATCATCACCGAATTCAGAAAACGTACCTCGTGTATTAATTCTTCTTTGCTCTCTTCGTTTACCTTGTGCCATATTATTTTAAAAAGAAGGCTATTTGTCCAACTTCCCAGGCAATTTTAACATATGAGGTAGAATGTGTCACGTAATATTGTGTTTTATGTATTCAAATTCATGCCAACAAAACAATGCATTCTCATCCCCTGGAAAAAAAACACAAGCTTCGTTTTCCTTTCACTTTCATTACGTGAACCAAATGAGGCCCTAGGTTAACAAACCTAACTGGGTTTCTCTTGTAGTTGAATATAGCTACAGCCTGTATAGGGTGTCACATCCTGACCTGGGCCCCCACCACATCTCGGCCTCAACTCCACCGTAGCACGATATTGTCCGCTTTGAGCCCTGACCATGTCTTCACGGTTTTGTTTCTGGGAACTCACGAGAACTTCTCAGTGGGTCACCCATCCTGAGATTGCTCTCAGGCGAACTTGCTTAACTTCGGAGTTCCGATAGAACCCGAAGCCAGTGAGCTCCCAAAAGGCCTTGTGCTAGGAAGAGATGGACATGTACATATAAGGTTTATAAGATCCACTCTCTTGGGCGATGTGAGATGTTACAATCCAGCCCCCTTAGGAGCCCAACGTCCTCGTCGACACACATCCAATCAGGGATTGGCTCTGATACCACACTGTCACATCCCGGCCCGAACCCCCATCACATCCCGGGCTCGACTCCACCGTAGCACGATA